TGTATACATCATGGAAAGGAGCTCTTTGTCATGGACTGGGATATTACTCTCAGCTGCTTGCAGCTGACGCGATTGATATCAGATGACGCGTTCTGCGCCGTCTGTGTCAAATTGCACCAACGTGCAGCCGATCGCGAAATCGGTGGCGTCACAGACCACATGGAATGGTCTGTCCTGATCTGCAATCGCCATTATGGGCGATTGCATCAAGCTTTGCTTGATACCCTCAAAGGAACGCTGGCAGTCATTGTTCCATGACCACTTCACATTTTTCTTGAGTAAACAAGAAAGATGAACAGTCATCTCGGTGTAGTTGCGCGAGTACTTGTGCAAGTACGCTGCTAGCCCAAGAAACTTACGAAGTCCCTTGACATCGACTGGCACAGGCCAGTCGGTGATCGCCTTGATCTTTTCGGTATCAGAACGTACGCTGTGTTTACCCACGATGCACCCAAGAAGTGGTATTTCGCTAGCCACGAATATACCTTTCCTGAAGTTGGCGTACAACTTATGCTTGCGCATAAGTTAAAGGATCTAACGAACGTGTGTTCTATGAGCTTCAACGTCTGTCTTTCCGATCATAGCCCGGCTATGGACGAACACATCGTCGAAGTAACTCGGTGCGAAGTCTCGCACCGGTCTCAAAAGATTTGTGACACATCTGTTGAAAGTAGCAGGGGCATTGCTTAGCCCCTGTGGCATCACTAGCCAATCCCACAGCGTACCGCTAAGGTGCTCACTGCTGTGTACGGGATGTCCCGTTCACGCATGAGGATATGATAGAACCCATCCATCAGATCCATGGACGAGAAACTGGTACGCTTTTACATACCATCTATGATTACGTCCTTCCTCGGTATCGGCGTCTGAGCCGGTACGCTGCCGCACTCAACTTGTTGAATGCGTGCACTATCCGCCATCCTTCTGTGGCCTTTCGCACACAGAGGGTCGGAGAGGTGTAAAGAGAAGTTGATTCCCTCACATGGCCCGCTGCCAAGCGATCGGTAAAGAACTTGTAGATCGCTAGTACTTGTACACGAGGCAGTGGCCACTGCTTCATGACACAGTACTTCGAGCCCTGTTTGAGCTCGATCTCGTGTCGACTGACTTTTTCCGTAGGCTACTCGCAAGGTACATATTCTGGGAATACATCCTTGAATTCGATCAAATCCTTATCCAAAGGATTTGACTGAAGCGACTCGCAGGATTGAGACGTGTATCGCTCAATCCAAGTCTTCTCATCGAGGACACTTTCGTCTATCGATGAGCTGCTGAGAACCCGTTCTTTATCAGCAAATACTATCGCCAACCGAATACAGGCCACATACTCATCCTCTGTGACGAGTATGCAGATCTGCTTGGCCTTGTCACTACGCAGATCACGCAAAAACAGTTTCGGTTCTAGCGTTGGCAAGAACCCGTATGCTTTCGGTTCGCTCGAATCCTTCAAACCCGGCTCAAACGAACGTTTGAACCGCCAAGGGCTGAGTTCAGGGCTCGATCTGAGCTCCTGAAACTCAAACAAGGTAAGCGTGATGTTGACGCTTACGCTCAACACATACGACTCCTTGCGAATAGTATAACTGCGAACCCGGTAAATGAAAACACGTTGATTACTGTGTTCATGCAAGGGCTCTCAGAGGGACCCGTCAGGAATCACCTGTTCCGCCTAGAGTTGAATACTCTAGAAGATGATATCGCAGCAGCGGAACAGGAAGACTTTAGCATGAGACAAGCTCATACTAGCTCGAGCTCTTATTTTCCATTGAGACTACAAGATACCGGAGGTACAGAACCAATGGACATCGGGGATGTTGAGAGCGAGAGAACTGGCTATTCGAACAACAAGCGATTGCAGAGGTGCAATCGCTGTTAGAAATTAGAGCACTACGCATACGAGTGTAGTGCTTCACGCCCGATACCTAGCAGTACTGAGCGAAATGGACGACCATTTGCCAGAAAGGGCAATGAGCGCAGGTCCAACGATGTTACGAAACCTCAACAGCGAAGCGAATGATCAAAAAATGGTCGGGGTCAGTAGGAACGGAGCGCCCTACTGATCTAGCAACCTCAAGAGAATTCGCAAATCTCTTGACAAAAGTCGCTGCAGACACACAATCATTGTGTGTCTCTGCACTTGGTGATGCGATATCACACATCACCTTGAAGTTAGAAGTGACAACAGGTATGTCACTTCGTGCTCTGGTTGACTGTGGGGCGTCGAATAATTTTATTCGTCTCCAGCCACTGGAGGAGCGTGGGATCAAGTTCGTTGAGCGCGACATCCCCCTCACAAGGATGAAGGTGCGCCTCGCCACAGGCGCATTGATTGCCGTTGCAAAACGTGTAGTAAGAATCCACTACATGTTAGAGGGCGAACAGTACGATGATGACTTTATCGTACTGGATCTGGATGACAAATTTGATTTCATCCTAGGATTACCTTGTCGCAGTAGGTACGATCCAAGGGTGAGCTGGAAGCATCGATCCGTGAAGATGACTGCCGCTTGTTCATCAGATGGCCATCTGATGAACGTCATTGAGCGTCCACAAGCGTGCGGATGTACTGCGGGTGAGTACGATGGCCTCACTTGCGGTACGGTCGTTAGCACGACTGCACAAGACCTCAGTGTAGCTGATCACTACACTGTGGAGCAAAATCCCGGCGGCTGTACAGATGTACAGGCAGCGCCGAACGTCCACAACTCGAATAAGTCGAGTGGATCGGGGCATGGGCGTACGACTAGCGGGCAACTTCCTAGAAGTAAGAAACGTGTTGCCTCCAAAGGGCAACACGGTCATCCTAGGTCGACTGGAGAGCCGACCGTAGAGGATTGAGACCTGACTGTGGTTGCACAGACACAGTCAGAAGACGTCGAGGGAATAAGTCCCTATGTGCTTGAGGGAGGAATTCCTCAAGAGTCACTTGCTGAGGGATCAGGCCCTCAGCAACCTGTGGAAGCAAGTTCTCAGGAAGAAACCGAGGCGTTGAATGTCGTGGTAAATGACGGATCAAGTGTAGGCGCTTATACACTCGATCTGATTGTTCCTCCGAAGTTAACTTCGTCCAGGCCTAAGGCCCAAGTCTTAGCAAGTCCTGTCAAGTGGGATTGAGCAAATGTTATTTTCATTTGCTCATCGTCGATGCGACGGGCCTTTATTTATCTGTCTAGTTCGACGAACCATAATAACATGGAGTCTTCCTCGACTCCTCTGTACTTGGAGATATCAATCTTTAAGATTTCGGGTTCACGCGTGTGTGTCGTCCCGCCCACAGCAGCATTAAGTTGCTGCTGTCTCAACAGCTCTGTCTGTTGATCACCGAGTTCTCTCAACTGCTCAGCCTGTTGAGAGCCTTGATGGCGAAGCAAGGCTGCCTTTTCTCGTTCCGCGCCAAGTTCATTTTGAATGAACCTGGCGATGGCGGCATGTTGTTGGTCTCTGTCAAGAGATTCCAACATAGCGGTAACGCCAATGTCGCCCACGGTAGAGCTCATTCTCCCTACCGCGGCCCATTCGAGTTCACTCAAATGGGCGAAACCTTCACGTATGGCTTGAAAGCTCTCTTCCTCATCCCTCCTGTTCATGACGGATAAGATGGGTGGTCGTTAAAAGGACTACAAAGTTCTACCTGGTGTAACGGGTAACGCTCTTGCTCAGATAACTGAGCAAGGCCTTGTATTGATAACAATGCAAGGGTGCGTACGCCCGACGTCACGTACACGTGGCGTGAGGAAGCGCTACCGAGACAATACAGAAACCGAAGGCTCTGTCTTGAGGGAAAAGCAGAACTGTATGTAATATAGTTATGTTTCTTGCTAAAGCATCTTTCGTCTTAAACTAACTATATTAAACCACTGTCTCCTATGTGGGTCTTCTGTCCACCACCCATTGCGCTCGTCCAGCAGCGATCGGTGGTTAAATTGGTTGATGTACCGTGTGCATCAACCAAGAAGTAGACCCCTCCACGGATATTACCCTTAGAGGTAATATTCCAACAACACCACTTTTCTCGAGTGATGTTGATTGAATATTATCAAAATAGATAATATCCAAAAATGGGTACTTTCGTACCAATTTTAATGTAACGGGCTCACCCCGTTACACGCACGGCAACGAGCTAACAGCATACCAGGTCTTGATCTGCGATTGAGTCGCGGTTCGGCAACTGAACCAGTATTTTACGGGAGGGGGCTTGACCCCTCTCGTCACAAGCTTCATTGCTGTCGTGGGGTGACCGAGGCGCTGGAACACATCTTCTGGTCCTGCCCCTGCACGCAGACCTGTTGGCAGAAACTGATATGCCATTGGACGGGAGAACGCTAGGGACTGGATCAACTACACGACTTTCGCTCCAATAGTGCAAGTAGGTCGGCGCCGACGCTATCCAAGGTGGTCGAAGACGGTTTAAGGCGGGATCATCCGGACGAAGATACGGAATATGCGAAGGTCTGGAGGAGGCTCTGGCGTCTGCTGAGCAGCATCTGTGTAACTACGTTGTGGATTCAACGAACAGAGTCGTTTTTCAACGCGAGGAAGTCACGCTCGCAGGAAGCGTCGAGGAGTTTGGGCAAAACGGCATGCGGCAACTCCGGGCTGTAGCAAAGCGGGAATTCCGCAGGACCAAGACGAAAATTCAAGGAGCACGCCTGCTATTATGTCATCGACAAATCGCAAGGCAACCAAGAGAGCCGTCGCCTATGGTGACCAGCCCCTTAAAACCACCGGGCTCGAACGAGGGACCGGCGTTGCTAACCAGGCTCAAGATCTATCAGACATCTTGCAACCGGTAAATGGCTAATTAGACACGTCTGCTTCTTTGTCTCTCTCTGTCTCTCTCTTCTCTCTCTCTACTACTACTACTGGTTTCAAATTTCTGTTCGTTTTCTAGCCGCGCCATTGTCGTCTGTTCTTCTTCGTGCAACATTCCACACCTCTCCTCTCCCCCAGTCACTTCCGATCCGACGCAATTGTGCCGTCCTCTCGTCGCTATTGCAAACATGCCGCCCCGCGCTGCCCTAATCCGCTCGGCGCTGTGTCTCACGACCGGTAGGTCCGTTTCTAACCATCGAAACAACGCCACAACGGCCCGTCGCCAGCATCAACTCACCCCTATTTCCCCCTATCTGGTCTCTATTTCGGCCGTATCCAGCTAAACCGCGTCCGACGCCTACGCTCTTCTGCTTCCCCGGCCTTTCCTCGACGCCATGGCACGACACGCAGTCGTTTGACTGGATCCCGCGCCTCGAAGCCAACCGCGACGTCATCACGAACGAGTTCCTCGCTCTTCAAGCACAGCGCCACCGCTCCGCCCAATCGAGCGACTACAACGCGTCCAGCAACGAGCACCAGCTGCATGCGGGTCAATGGGACTGGCTCTCGTACGTGGCGCAAGGCCGGCGGCAAGCGGACTTTGCCGAGCAGTGCCCCGCGACCGTGCGCGTGTTAGAGAGCATTCCGGGCTTTATGGCGACTGTCCCGTTTGCCTATGCGTTTTTCTCTATTTTAAAGCCTGGGGTAAGGGGTCCGGCGGTCGACTCGATCGCGCGTCGCTTGTTTTGTGCACGAGTAGCTACTTATACGAGGCAAATGGTATGTGTGCATGTGTGTGGGCGCGTGGACTGTACACTTAGTCGAGTATCAAGGCCCACTCGGCGCCGTGCAACATTCGACTGCGGTGCCATTTCCCGCTGATTGTACCAGACGGCTGTGGCATTCGAGTGGGCGACGAGACGCGGCAGTGGGAGGCAGGAAAAGCGCTCGTGTTCGACGGTTTGTTGTGCTATTGAGTTCGATATGGTTGGGCTGGGGACCCTGTGACATGGTAGTGAGTGACGTGGATTGTGCTGTGTTGTGGTATTGTTGTTGCTGTTGTTGCTGTTGTTGTTGTTGTTGCAATAGACGCGTATGACCACGAAGTGTGGCATCGTGGAAGTGACGGCGACCGCGTGGTGCTGCTGTTCGACGTTTGGCACCCAGAGCTGGTGCAAGGCGAGCGTGAGGCTGTTGTCAGGATGTTTGAGGACGCAAAGGAGAAGGGCTGGCTCAAGGAGTTCGAGTCGTAGCTCGATGCTGCTGTGAAGCGATACGCTGTACTCTGTTGTGGTACGTACGCAGCACTGGTGTTGCGGAGGAAAAGCGTGAAAGTATGTGCTTAGTGTATTTGTATTGTATTTACGCGCCCAGGCAGAGCGGTGTGGTAAGCTGTGCAGCTTAGGAACGATTCTGGTCCTCTCGCGCTGTCTCGTTGTCGTCGGCCCCTTCTTGGTCGGCAGCCATTGTGTTGAAAATGTATTCCAGCGACGTTGCGCTCACGCCGTACTCGCTCACGTGCAGCACGTCTTTGTTTTCTTCGAGGAGGCCAAAGATCGCGTGCGGTCGCAACGACTGCTTTGGCACTTGGAAACGAAAGTGGCCGCCCTGGTGTTCGATACGCTGACAGCCTGGAAACTTGTCGTGGAAGAACTGTTGCAGCGTCGAGTCCATGTTCTCGGTGGCCCACCATGCGCAAAAGGTGTCAATGGGGACGAGGCCCGACGTCTCGAGGTAGCTGTTGAGGACGCTGCCATTGTTCTCGCCTTCCAGGATGTCTTGCGCCCGCTCTGGAAACCCGAGTGACGAACATAGGCTGACAACATGGTGTCGTGAGATACCAGGGCTGTTGCCTCCGAGGAGTCGATGCACATCTTGCTGCAATGATGCCAGAACAGAGGCATGTGGCTGCTGCAGCTTTACCTCCACGATGTACCCTCGGCCAAACTTCTGCTTCAGGTGCTCGACGCTTCCTAAGCATTTCAGCTTTCCATTCACCAAGATCCCCACTCGCGTGCAAAGTGCTTCGCATTCTTCCATGCTATGGGTAGTAAGAATGACAGAGGACTTCTTCGCTGCGCAGACATTGGCAATGACGTCCCACATTTTCCGTCGAGAGCTTGGGTCTACTCCCGTCGAAGGCTCGTCAAGAAGGATGACGCTTGGACTGCCAATCATGGCGATGGCGGTGGACACTTTGCGCTTGTTGCCTCCACTGAGCCCTCGCGTCAGCTTGGTCCGGTACTCAGTGAGTCCCATGTTCTCAATAGCTTGATCAACCGCATCGTCCACCCCGTGACTCGGGATCCCCTTGAGTCGAGCATACAGCTCAAGCTGCTCTTCCACGGTCAGCAAGTCATGCAATGGGTCGAACTGGGGACAGTATCCAATCGCACTTCGTGCTTTGTTGCGCTCGCGAGCCAAATCGTATCCACTCAGCGTAACGAATCCGTTCGTTGGAGCCATCTCACCCGTCAGCACTTTCATCGTCGTCGACTTACCAGCTCCGTTGATGCCGAGATACCCAAAGCACTCTCCCTTTGTCACGGAGAGACACAAGTCGTCTAGCGCGAGCTTGCCTTTGCGTCCATACTCATGACGCAAGTTACGGATAAAGACGCTGTCGTTCTGCGTGGGCTGCGACTGCTCGAGTTTTTGGCGCTCAGCAGCCACGTCGTCGTCCTCATTGCGAAGCCGGTCTTGCCGCTGTTCAGGTCGCCACGACGAGCTGCCGTTTTCGATAACAAACACCAGCACCATGAAGATCACAAACTCGGCCAAAGCATAGGCGATGGGGGCCCCAGCGACGTCCAGATCGAAGACGCCGCGCTCGCAACAGGGCGTATCGGCAGGTGCATCCCAGCACGAGACGCACGTATAGTCCGTGCCAAGACCTTCCCAGAGACCGAAAAAGGAAGGTGGGGCCACGACCTCGGTGACGTTACCGCGCAGCGTGCGTCGACTCAGCTGTCGTGTACTAAGCTCGTAGATACCGCTGTTCAGGCCGTAGCCTGGAAAAAGCAGGAAAATCCATCGCAGGTAGTTCCTGTCGAGCGATGGAAGGGTTAAGTTGGACGAGGTGCTTGAGGTCAACCTGAAGTCGATGAATCTGCACATGAACGAGAAAATGCTCAGCAATCCACCCGTGCAGAGAGCGAAAACCAGCAGCGACGTCTGTGCCACAGCATGCCTCTCGAACTTGAACGAAAACAGGTATGCCATCGGGACCACGGCGAGAGCATGCGACCCGATCAGACAAAAGACTCCCCATACCTCCGCGGTGCCTGCCAACGTTGGATCTGACAGAGGAATCATCACGGCGGAGGCAACGACGGTCACTGCCATGATGAGGAAATCGTGAGTCCACGTGGACAACCAATATGCTGACGCACTGGCACCCGAAATCAGCTGCAGACTTTTCGCGTTTTGGTTCGGACTCTTCTCGCGCACGATAAAGGCGACAATCGCAGCAGGAACAAAAGCGAAAACCAACATCACTACGACAGCTGTCAAAAAGGCGGACAGAGTAACCTGAAGCCTTGCACCGTCGTCGTCGAGGCAGTGCTTGTTGTAGCACGGGGTCACTGCGTTGGACGACGAAGTGCCCTCACACGTGTTGCACGCATAGTACGGAGACTGGACGTTTCTCGGATCGCAGCATGTCGAGGCGCTGCAATCGATCACGCCCAGCTTGCAGTAGGTAAACGAAAAGCTGTCACAACTGCTTGTAGCAGGCACTAGCGAAAACCTTTCGCTCGTGCACTGTGCTTGTTGCGCCGGCGATGCAAGGCTTTCCGCGTAGGTACCATCTGGCAGGAAGCTGGCCACATCGATGTCCGGGAGCAACACTAAGATGATCAGGAAAAGCAGCGGGATGCACACAGCATTCAGGAGGTTTTTCGTGTCTCGCTTTGCAATACGCAAACGCTTTGTCAGCAGTGCAGTATACTGGGTCCACAGCGTCGGTCGGCCAGCACTCTCAGCAGACATTGGGCTCGTCAACGTGCCGCTCGAATACGCTGAGCTTGCTGACGTCTTGCGGATTCGGTCGACTGTTTCCACGCTACAGACAGCAGCATTGATGGCGGCTTCTTCTTCTCGATCACGTGCGATGCGCAGGAATACTTCCTCGAGGGTTGTCACGGACACACCGTACTGAACAATATGCAAACGGTGCAACTCATCGTCGAGAGCTTGCAGCATCGTGGAAAATACTCCCACTGATTTCGTTGGCAGCTGGAACACGACCTCTGAACCAAAGTTGCTCAAGCACTTTGCTTCAGGCACGAAGCCGCGTAGAAAGGTGCCCACGGCTTCAGCATCACACCCGGGCGCTTGGATCATGGTCAGACGATACCCAGCACCATAGCAATTTTTCAGAAAGAGGGGAGTACCGGCGCAACAAAGCTGGCCATCAGCCATGATGGCGACGCGGTCACCTAGAATGTCGGCCTCATCCATGAAGTGCGTGGTCAACAGAATGACTCGGTCGTCGCGGTTACGCTGCAGCAAATTCCAAGTAAACCGCCGGGAGTACGGGTCCATGCCCGACGTTGGCTCGTCCAGAAAGATAAGCTTGCTGTCTCCCATGAACGCCAGCGCAAGACTCAATTTGCGCTTTTGTCCACCCGACAGGTTCCTCGCAGCGGTTTTCCGCTTCTCCACTAGACCCACTTCCCGAATCATTCGCTCCACTTCTGGCTTCAGACTACCACGCGGAATGTGTTTCATCGTGCCAAACAATAACAAGTGCTCTTCCACAGTCATTTCGTCAAACAAGACATCGTGCTGAGGACAAACGCCCATAATCCGGCGCAGCTCGTTCAGGTGTTCGCGAAACGAAAGACCGAAGAGCGTTGCGTTGCCCGACGTGGGTGGAATGAGACCGGTCAACATCGAGATTGTCGTTGTCTTTCCAGCGCCATTGTGGCCCAGCAGAGCAGATATCTGCCCGTTGTACAGAGTGAGGTCGAGCCCTCGCACTGCTACGTTTACTCCGCCACCACCTGATGCAAATTCTTTGCGAAGACCTCGGATCTGGAGACACGTTCCCTTCCGTTCCTGTGCTGATAGCGTGGCGTCCACAGGCTCCACACAAGCTACAAGCCCAGGTCGATCCTTCACCATCACGATCGATCCGTTCGTCGACATCGGACGCGATAAGCTTATTTCTCGCGGCGAGGCGAATGTACGGTACGGGTGCGGCGATGAGACTGAGGAAATGGCTGCTGTCGAACTCGTCGGACGCCAGAAGTCTCTTGTAAAGAGGAAGTTCCACGGCTTGCGGATGCCAAACTCTTGCGGAAGCACATTGTCAAAGTACCAGCCAAGCGCGACGAAAATGAACGAGTCGAGGATCAAGAACCAGCTCATTTCAAATGCCGTCGGCACAGTCACAGGCGATGCCGTGACCGTTATCGCGTATGCCACTCCTCGTCCGAGCTGCGCGTGGCGCACGATGTCATCAATGCCGAGCGCAAAGGCAGTAGGCGGTGCCAGCGCACTGAGGTACTTGGTCGCGTTGGACTTGGACATGACGGTCAAGAAGGGGAAGAACAGCAAGATCCATGCCAGCACGGACGCGATGGAAGCGGCGCGAGCCTTGTTGAAGAACGGCGTAATGCAGTAGCTAAAGCCCACGATCGACAAGCTCAGCGTCCAGAACAGGAACACGAGCGTCGCGTACGTTGTCATGGGGAACACTTGACCAAACTTGAGCTCAGCTGCAATGACGAACGCGAGGGGCGTGGTCAAGATGGCAGTCGTGAGGCACCACGAGCACAGGAGCGTAAAGTTCGAGAGCCCCATGATCTTCATCACTTCTCGGATGCGCGTCTCCTTTTCACTCACCATGGTCGTCGTTGTCGTCGAGACAAACTTGACGTAGCAGATGAGCAGAAAGAGGCCAATGACGCTTTGTCCGCTCGTGTAGAACAAGGTCATGTTGGTGCTCAAGCCGCCGTAGTCGGTGGTTTCCAGGGCCGTGCACACGATCGTCTCGGACGTTGTCGACGCCGCGGCTGCTTCCGTCGACGACGCCGAGCTCCTGTTCCGGCGGTCGCCCGTGCCAAAGATCGTGTCGAGATTGGCAATAAAGACCAGCGCGAGCGCCAGCAGCACGGGTAAGAAGAGCTCGAGCACGAACGACAGGGGCTTGCGCCGTCGGATCACGAGGTTCTTCCAGAGCAAATTGCTCACTTGTCGCCACGACGTGAGCAAAACGCCGCACGTGGACGGCCGCGCGACGGCCGCGAGGCGCTGTTCCAGCGTCTCGTGGTCCTCCTCAGCTCCACGAGACTCTGGAGCAGCGCTGGTAGCCTTTTGCTTGGTCCTCGCGTAGAGGCGCGTGGCAATGGTCGCAGCGATTAAGAGCGCCACGGCGAGCGCTGCTACGACGAGCAGGACGATGTTGCCGGCTGCGAGCGAGCACTGCTGACTCTCGGCGATCGTAGCGTGGACGATGGCGCGGCAGTCGGTCACGTTGCGTATCACTGCCGTTGACGACGTTGTCGCTGGCGGTATTGGTATGGACTGTGCACAGTCAAAGACGGTGCGCGCGGCTGCGCAGCACGAGCTGGAGGTGTAGAGCGGCGACGGTTCGGTGCACGTGAGCGCACAGGCGCCGACGGCGGTGATGGGCGTCGCAGTGCTCAAACGCGGCGCAAGGAGAGCCGGCGAGAGAATGGTCGAGAACGCTTCGGGCAGTGTGAAGGCCGAGGGCGAGAGCTGGAAGATGCCCGAGTTCATCACGCAGAGCGCGTAGTCAAAGTCGGACGTGGTGATCGTCGTGAGGCACGACGTGAGCGGCTCCATGGGGCGCGACGAGAGCGATGATGTGGGCGCAAGTGGGGGTCAGTCGGACGATACTGATTTTTGTATCGCGTTCTCTCTCGTCGGGACTTGCGCGCGGAGTGGCAAATTCACAAGTGCGAGTGTCGAGGCAAGTGGCGGAGATGCGGGCGGATACTGTCACACGCGGGCGCGCACTTCGCTGTTGATGCGATTGGGTTGTAGAGGGTAGTAAGAGGTAGGAGGCGGGTTGGACTGGTTCTGGAATCTGATGCGATTAAGTGTGGAGAGGTATGATGTTTAAGACGACAAGGGCTGCCGCAGTCGATCCGCCAGCATTGATTCGCGTGCTTTTTGCCTATTTATCGCGTGCCTTTTGCCTGTTTATGTTGCAATCGAAAAGGAAAAGTTGGGTTCAGTCATGAGAGGAGGTCTGCACATACCATACGCACTAGTGAATCGAAGGTGAGCGATCTGATGTCGCTGTATGAACAGAAGTCGTCGTGCAACTGTCAAAGCTAATTCATACATTGCTCGCAAGAAGCATAAAGAACTCATATGGCATTGGACGCTATGACACGTTCATGGATGTTTGCGAGTAGCCTGTTCTTTGTTTGCGAGTAGCCTGTTCTTTGTTTGCTCGGCTGCCCATCAGTATTGCGTAGTCAGCGACGCGGTCCCGAATGTTTACGCCCATGGAGCCGATCTCTCAGATTCGCCGGATCAATTAACTTGACTCGAACGCCCCCGTCTTCAACAATATTCAATTAATTGCAGCACGTAAACACAACACATCATTTTGCTGCCAATCACTGCATTTTGCTGCCGATCATTGCATTTCGCTCCGGCCACAACGCGACGCAAAACACCATGGCGCGACCGTCCGCCACCGCCTCTCGCGACTCGGAGCGTGGCTTCCGCCGGTACGGTCGACTGCATCTCGCACCATCTTCACAATCTCCAGCGTCTTAGCTTTATACTCATGTGCTATTCACCTTTGCCACTTGCTCTACGCACGCGGTGTTGTGCTTTGTCGACAGCCATCAAGAGCTCATGAGGCTGTACTCGACATCGTCTTGTCGTAGTGACAGCGTCAGCAGTCGTAGCTTCAGCTCGTTGGCTCCTGACCGTGACCTTTACATGTCTCAGGATGATCTGAACGTGCTGAAGAGCAAGTTCCAATTCATTCGTGACGACGATGCGGACGCTGAACAGGGCGAGACGGACTGGCAGATCCGGATGAGCGTGCGCTACTATCAACAGCTCTTTCGAGAGTACGCACTGGCTGATTTGTCTCGCTACGCAGAGGGAAAGATCGGACTGCGATGGCGTACCGAAGCGGAGGTCGTGGCTGGCAAAGGGCAGTTTATCTGCGGGAACAAACGCTGCGACGAACGTACGCAATTGCACAGCTACGAGCTGTTGTTTGCATACGTGGAGCACGGTAAGCGGAAGAGGTGTTTCGTAAAGGTGCGCGTGTGCAGCACCTGCGCTGCGAAGCTGTTTCACAAGAAGTTGAACGAGAGGAGAAAGGAGACACGTGCGATGGAGAGGAGAGGGCGAAAGCGATGTCGCATGGAAAAAGAGAGCGACGGGGAAGAGAGCGACAAACAGCATACACACCCGGCGTCACGTATTGCATTAAGCACGAGCGATAAAGGTACCTGCGGGGATGCTGATAAACAGACAGAAGCGGGGTCCAAAGTGCGCGTTGAACTTGGTGCAGACACTGATCCGGACATTCATGAGGTGTGTGCGGCGATCAACGCAGAGCAAAACGCGAGTTATCCGCGGAGTTTGTGCCGACGCAGCGGAGGATTTGACGAGCTGCTACCTTGAGAAACTCGTTGCTCGTTGGGTTTTGTTGAATGATGCGAGAGATCAGTTTCAGCCATGGGTGGACCGCAACCGCGTTCGATTCATCGTTACAGCTCCTAGTAGCCATACTTGTCATTCAGTTTGGTGCGGCCGTCGCCAGTTTGGTTTGTTGGCGGGACCCATACTTGATCGCCTCCTTCGAGAACACTCGGGTCACCGCCAGGATGCTCATCACTTGTTTTCAGCTTTGACTGCGGGGGCGGAACCCGTGCTGGACCTACAATCCGTCGACGTTTCGATGCGACTGGCGTGACATCGGTTTCTTGTGTTACTGGCTTTGTTTTCTGCGAAGCCAGCGGCTGTGTGCTTGGATTGGCACTCGCGAGAGCTTGTATCTCTGCTGCAGCCGACGTACGCTCTGGCGCTGCTTCTTGTGTTTTCGCTGCATCGAGCTCGACAGCCCTTTCCGCACAAGCAAATTCGTGTGCTGATGAGTTTTCCTCTGAGGAAGGAGCCGGAAGTCCACTCTCGTCATCATCTATCGACGAGGTGTCGTATGACTTCGAGATCGGAATGGCAGCCAGCGCCGGCGTTGCTACAACAAGTAGCTGTCGCTGACGTTTCAATTCCATCTCCACCTCCTCTTTTCGTGCCGCGAGTGCGTCTACCTTGCTCTTATGCATCTGTGTGGTCGTCGCCGCCATGAAAGATTCCAAAGTGTCCCTTCCCGCTTGACATTTGCTGTCTCCATGGGTAGCTCGACGTTCTTCAGCAGCCACAGTAGACACAGCAGTCAGTTCATCTTGGACTTTTGCAAGCTCGGCTTCCAGCTTCTTGACATTGGCCCGAATCGAGTCTTCGGTGAGAACTTCGCTCTCCGTCGATCGTGCCAGTGTTGCTGCTGTAGTCGCGTCACCAGTGACGACCGAGTCTATAACATTCCGCTTTCGTGCTGTAATTTTCTGCTGATTGGCTTTCGTTCGATCGTAAAAGTCGTCTTCGTCGCTACTGTATCCATACAGCTCTTCGTTCATGTTGCGCTTTTTTCTGGCAGCAGTACCATTTGTGCCGCCCGATTTCCCCCGCTGATCGTTCTTCGCATGTATCCGCCCTTCCAGATCATCAATCTGTTTCATCAGCACGTCAATCCGTTGCTCGTTTCGGTCGAGCGTGTTTTGCTGACCCTCTGACAGTCCATTCAGCTGGTTCTGTTTCGCCAGAATCCTCGATCGCTCCAGCTTCAGGTTTTCCATCTTGCGTATTCGTGTCTGCAGCTGCTGATACAGTCGCTGGTCCTTCTCGTGAATCTGCGACGGCCCCACACTCGACGTGTATGGCTGATCGTCTTCCTTTAGCTACAACATCCATACCACATTACACAAAACTTAGTCACACGATCTTCCCTCAGCTCTCACCTTTACCGCATCTCCTTACATTACGAAGATAGTCAGGCAAACCCTCACGAGTCTTCGTAGCATCCGCCTCGTCGTCACTCTCTGCTTCCTCCTCGTCCTCTGCATCTTCTTTCAGCCCCCACGAGACTCCATTGTCTTCCAACGTCTCACTCTCTTCTCGCATGCGCTGTTTCTTGTCCAGTTTCTCCCTCAATTTGGTCAAATTGAGTGACTCGTACTCGGGCGGCAAGAGCTCTTTCGGTCCACAAACCACATACAGTCGCGTCGATTCGCCAAACCCAATCACATCGCCAATGTGCACCCGCACGAAATCTTCGGCATCGACCCGTCTCTTGTTCACGTAGCACCCGTGGGTACTGCTCGTGTCGTAGAGGAAGAGCGCGCCTTGATCGTCAAACTGCAGGACAGCGTGGACTCTAGAGATGGAGGGATGGGCCAGCGTCACGTCGCACACGGTCGCCATGCGCCCAATGACGACGTAGCTACGAGTCTCTTGCTGACATAGCGGCAGACTGTCGACTGTCACGCCGCTTTTGATCACCTCCAGCGACAGATTGAAGACGTTACGGCCCGTGGCACTCCAGTCGGGAGGCGAATAGTGCGTCATTTTGATGTTGTGAGCAGCTACGAAGCAATGTGATTGGAAGAAAAGGACGACACCCGACGACCGGACCGGAATTAGGGAACCTGTTGTTTGTCACGAAGGGAACCCGTTCTATGGCATTGACACCAAATTAGGTCAGCGTGAATATTATCGTAGATGAAAGTAGTTTCCAATATTTACCTTGCGAAGGAAAGGCTAGAAAGCTTCTACATTTACATGTGATATTCGGTACTGCTCTACTCGTCAGATAATATAGGCCAATTCATCTACCAGCTCAATCACCACTAGCTGTAAGACGCGCGCAATGGGTGTTGAGCGAGTAGCCACATTTGACGTGTGTATCATAATATAGCAAGCAAGACCAAAGAGGTTTTTATGAGATCTACTTGTATTAAACAGAATTATTCTGAAAATCGTTTATTTCACTCATTTGGGGCCACATTCAATCCCTTAAATGTTCGTGGTACATATTGCTATAGGGATTTGATAAATTCGCTCCCTTTTTTGCTCCGATCCACTTCCGTCTGAAGCACGTGAACATAAGCTTTTGGGCACGTCTACGTGATTACTCTTCTAATACAACAAATGCAACCGTCTTGCTCCCCACTTTGCAATTTCAAAAGATGGTTCTGTCCTCGCCGCGACTTACCTTCCACCAACTTTAACTTTGAATCGAGAGAATGATACCGTAAAGAAAGTGCTCATTCTAGCAATGCAGTCATGTTAGAGGGAAGCAAATGTTGACTGACATCACATTTCATGTTTACCGATACAAAGGATGCAACTGACTTGTCTCCGACATCGATGTTTGAGGCTTTGATTCACACCGAACGAAAACGGTGTGTAAAGAGAGGCTTCCATTCACACAATAAAAGCACATTCGGCGCTGTTATCCGATTCATTCCGCCGATTCTGAATCCACAACCCCGCAGAAGGTCGGTCAGCGCAAAGCATCTCCCAAATAATAGTACGAACAGAGACGAGTCCCTTGTTGGAAATGGAAGTGATATCACAGTGAGACATGGTCTTATCAGGTCGTTGTATGGTAAAAAGACAGGTGGTTATGTTGAAACAAAGAACGCCGTTAGGACTGGTAAGGACGTTATGTGGGAACGGGGAAACCGTTAGGATAGGAAAGAAAACCAGTCAGTACCACCACAAATATATTTAGTCTTCATTTGACCTTCCAGTACGCAAGTGTGTGTGAGCTAACACACATACTAACAGGGTCATGAGCTCAAAACTGATGAAGTTCACGATTGAAGGGGTGTCGAAGAACTGGGACAGCAAGGATTGGCAGACGTAAAAATGGACGATGATAAATGTTTTTAAGGAGAACGACCTCAAGAATATTGCAGTTGGTGACTTGACTAAGGCAATGCTTGCTACTGCTTCCGCAGAAAAGCAAAAAGAGTTTTTGAAAAAACAACTTAAAAACATGCGCATGATTGGTACGTTGGTGCCTCCGGAAGTTCTTCAGCAGATACGCGACAAGGAGACCGGATCGGACATGTGAAAAGAGCTTTGCAAACTGTATGAAGGGGTGCAGAACGAAGCAAGCAGGGCATATATGTAACGAAGCACACCCTTGCGTGAACTTAACGCAAGGGTATCGGTGCCCCGACAGACGTACACAAGGCAAGCGAGGAAGCGTAGGTAAGGTAAAAGCAGAACTGTTATATTAATATAATTAAGTCTTTTAACTACTGTCTCTTTGTTTGACTTAACTTAATTATGCTAATATAACTGAGTGTATGGTGACGTCTCGTCACCACTCATTGCGCGCGTCTTGCGGCGATTGGTGGGTTGATATCATCAAGATATCAACCAATGAACAGACTCTTTGGTCGACCCTTCAATATCACCACTTCGGTGGTATTGTTTAAAGAATATTCAACTTCATATTATTTAGTGTCACTTTTCTCAAAGTGACAATTCCATGTAACGGGCTGCCCCGTTACATCACCCCCCATAACTGATAGTCACCGTGTGACTATCGAAAATAATGGCGGCCACCCGTTGGTCACCATTGGGACAGGGAGCACTTGTTGGGTCCGTTCCATTCACTTTCCGCTCGACCTCGGATAGCTAACATGTCTATGCGGGGTGACTCAAGGCACACAGAGTCTGTGCCTGTTCCAGCTTCTGCGGCAGGCGATTCGTCGTCTGCTGCTCGTTCTTCGCCTACAGCAAGAGGTGCTGCAGGTGCACGCGGTAGAGCACCGCGTGCGCATGATGACCCCGATATTGAGGTCATCTACTCTGGCGAGTCAGACGTGTCTGACTCGGGCAATGCTGCAGAGGCGTCTCGCTCACCGGCGACGCCTCAGTGTCCGCCAAGGCCACTGCCGAACGAACGGACTCGTGAGTTGCAACACAGTCTGTTCGGCAGTGATGACGAATCTGGTGATGAGTATGTTTGCTCATCACCGCAATCAGCTCGTGCTCCTTCGCACGAGCGACTTGACGATGGTGCAACCCATCGTCATACTGAAACCGTGGTACCAACAAAGGTACCACCGTGAAGCGTGATGAGCTGAAGCCGTGGCGTTTGCCCGAACGGCTCATCAATGGCTTGTCTCACGAGACAAGCCAGCACCATCGAATACCCTTATTCGATGCGACTGAGCTTCACGGCTTGACTCCCAGCGCGAGCAACTTTCGCGCTGAAGAAGACTTTTATCTCGATGTATTCCTTAGACATCGATGGTACAACAGCAACCAAAAGCGCGAAAAAGCCTCGCTTTTGGCTGCGTGGAACGCGTTCGTCCAAAACGTAAAGAATTTTGGACGAGAAGGGTGGCTCAAGAAACTTGAGGCGACACGCCTCAGGTTCGAAAAGCGAACGCCAACCGGTGCCAGGTACCGGTTGCACTGTTTGTCGAGTAAGGCAGGCATTCCTTGCCTCACATGGGGAGACCCTTGTGCGAGTTGTGTCGACAACTCGCAGCGTGCACATAGGGACGTGTATTCCCTAAGTTCGACCTGGGGAAGGGCACACATCTCGGAGGAGATGCGTGACGCGATCGCAAACTTGCAATCCGTCTACAAGCACCTAGGTCGCGTGTTTACCGATTGGCTCGAGGACTCATCGGATGGGTCTCGTCATACTGGCGGACGAGACCTTCAACATCCATCAACAGCTGAGAGCGGGGCTCCTAGCTGTTCCAAGAGGGTGGATATCCCCTCCACTGGACGAGGTAGCTCGTCCTTGATCCTGAATCGTCACGGTGATTCAAGATACGCTCCACTAGAAAGCGTTGATCACCGTGAGCATCCACCAAAGGATGTGGTGGAGGAGGAAAGACCTCCTCCAGAGCCCCAGGCCCATCATCTCGACCCTTACGAGATGGATCGTGCAATCGATGAATTGCGCGATGACTTGAAACACGAGCGCGACCGGCGATACGCTTTGACTGATACCGCGCGGAAGAACCGCAAGGATCACGAGGCTGATTGGGCGAGGGATCGCGCCGATTATGCCACGGCGCATCTTCAGGTCGAGCGGGATGTCCGCTCCCTATTCGGCGAGCTGGCGACAGCTCGCGGGGAGATATCTCGGTTGAGCTCCGAGGTATCATATCTGCGCGACCAGACGGATCGTCTGGAGCGCGAACGCAAGAACTTGATGGATGTTCTTGAACGTGGGGGCTATCTTCACCGGAAGAAGAAGGCTCGTACTGACAGTACGGCCTGAGCCTCCCCACGAAAAACGTAGGATGCGTGCGCATCTTACGTGGCAATTCGAGTGTGTATGCATTGCCCTTGCGATGCAACACTCGAAATGGCCCAATGTACCTCGGCATTAGTTTACTACTGCCGACAATAGTGACTGCGTGTCCAGGTAGGTTTACCTTAGACAGTAGTACTAGGTCATAAATCTTAAGTGAAAGAACATTTGCTCTTCCATTCTTGTCTGCGTTCCGTTTCTGGCGGTCCACCTCATTTGCGATGGAGTCCTGAACGAAACGGACTACCGCCTCTCGAGTCAGCAGGAAGTTCTCTGCTGACTCTTTGTTTTGTCTTTCAGTGTGCTTCGTGCGCACTGCTAAGAGATTGTTCTCTTCTTCAGCGAGGTTGTCTTCTTCCTCGCTGGCATAATCGTTGACGATGCTGAATATATCAGCATCGTCATCATCATCCGAGTCAGTAATAGCGTTGTCGCTATTATTGCGGTGGTGTGCTTCATCGATGTCGACATTGTCGACATCGGCATCATACGTGACGACGTTAGCGTCGACACGTGATGAGCAAGAGCCAAAATGGTTTTTGCTCGAGCGAGTCCCTCCCTTCTTATCCAAGAGTCACAACCGAGAAGGGTGGGCACACGTGGATGGCGTAGGCCATTCACGTAAAACGGTGTGTGCTGGTTGGAAGCATGCACCGAATTATTGATGGCGAATTCCAACATGGGTAGAAATTCGCTCCAACTCGGAAACGAGTGGACATATCCTCGAAGGATCTCTTCGAGGACACGGTTCGCACGTTCCGTCTGACCATCTGTTTCGGGATGGCCAGAATTAGACATCTTCAATCGTGTTTCCAACGTGCGGAACACGGTTCGCCAAAATGCCGCCGTGAACCGAGGGTCACGGTCGGATACGAGTTCACGGGGTAATTCGTGGAGTCTAAAGACCGTGTCTAGAAAGACACGAGCACAACCTTAAGCCTTAATCGACTCAGGGACAGCAGCAAGATGGACCATCTTGCTGAATCGGTCAACGAACACAAGAATACCATTATTGTTGTGAGAGTCTTCGGGAAAACCGAAGACGAAGTCCATTGAAACGGATTGTCAGCACTCTGTCGGAACAGGCAGAGGCTGAAATGGCGCACGGGATGAGAGACTGGGTTTATCCGTTGCAAAACCTCGCAAGCACGTATGTACTTGCGGACAAACTGATACTGGCGTGGCCAGTAAAGTCACGACTTACCGCGAGGTAAGTCTTTTCTCTACCACGATGGCCGCCTTTTGGGGCATCGTGACACTCATACATGATGCG